TTTCATTTAGGTTGCGTTGAGGTAGACAAATGATAGATCACTCGGACTTTTAAATCTTCTTAAATTTTCTGAGATGGTTTCCATGACGAATGCCATTCTTTGGCCTCCAGTAAAGCCAATTGCACATCTAATTAATACTTCGTAGGTAGACCAATTAAAATTTCGATTTCTTCACAACATTTTGATTGATGATGCATCGTCATCACGAAGAGTCAATTTCCCTCGGAATTTCCACCATTTAAACCGACTGAGAAGTGCCGAAAACCTCACCCACCATCGTAATGTCGAAATATACACTGAAGTTGACACTACACTTTTGGCCGTTTCATCTTTAATTAACTTAAAAATTTACACATAACTTTTACAAATTCTTCCGTGGTACTTTTAGTGAGCGAATCCCTACTTCTGATGTAAGAAAACACGATATTTTCATCAAATTAATCTATTTCCAAAATTAAACACAATACAAGTAAATTCGACATTCCGTTGAGACAGCCGAACTATAAGTGTCCCCTTATTCTTTAGGCCAGATTGCCCTAGGAACTTAATACATAATACTAAAATAACAAATATGAGTCTTAGGGTAATAAATAACACATTTTAATGCCTTCGTCGCCACTCTGTTGAGAGGCAGGTACTTCGTCCGGTCCATATGTTTCGACTAAATACCATCGATCCAACGCTTTCGAATTTTAAATTCTTACATGCATTTTATATGGTAAAACTTTAAATTTAAATAGTAAGTACTTAAAATTGATATTAAGAGCTCAAACTTGGTGAGAATTTCTTTTTCTATATGTAGATTAATATTTTGCTTGAGCACAAAAAAAAAACAAAATTTTTCGGAACTGAATCACCCTAATATGTGTATTATTAAAAGTCTAATAGATAGCAGAATGTCACGTTCTATATATTTATTCTCAGTCTGCCACCGAGATTCTTTTTAGCGGCAACAGCTGAGACGGCACTTTTCGCTTTTGGTCTTAATTTGTTGTCAATACTGACGTCACTTCTTACAGTATTTTTATTTAATAGTTGTTTGTGCGAGTATATTAATTTTAGATTTGAAAATGCTTTTTTAATGATAGTTGACACATGTTTTGAAAAAGTTAACGAACTATCTATATACAATCCGAGATTCTTTTCACATTCAAAAAATTCCAAAATATCATTTTCTATTATTATATTTAAACTATCTTTAATTCTATGTTTTGCTAATTGACGACCGAATAGCATTGCCTTAGATTTTGTAGCATTAACTGACAAACAGAATTTGTTAGGAATCTCAGCTATAATTTCTAACTCTTCATTTACTTTTAAGGAAGTACTTTCAGCCTCAGATTCATTAAAGTCGATGTACAATTGTGTATCATCTGCGTAAAAATGGGAGTTCATATATTTCAAAAAGGTATGAAACTGAGCAGTATATATACAAAATAGAAGAGGCCCCAGAATTGAGCCTTGTGGCACACCCCGTGTTAGTTGAGCTTCTCTAGATGATATTGGGCCCATGAGAACTCTTTGACATCGTTGATTTAAATATGCATTGATTAATTTCAAAGAAGAGTTACTGAAGCCTACATGATGACATTGCTTCTGGCATGCGATGGTTAAGCTTGTCAAACGCCTTGGAGTAATCTAAAAGTTGAGTAAAAGTACTAACACGCACAGTTTGTTTGCATCTATGTAACAGTAAATATCATCTAAAACTTTTAGCAACGCAGTGGTGCAACTGTGTCCAGGTCAAAATCCAGATTGATGTTTAGGAAATATGTTATTTTTTGTTATAAAGGTACGCATTTGTTGATCCATTTTTTTCTAGTACTTTAGAAAGAGTATACAAAATACTTATTGGTCTCAGATCCTTATAATTATTAGAATTATCAAGTTTTATGTTTAAATGTTTAAATTTTTAAATAGTATGTAAATTTATGAGAACGGAATTTTTTCAGTTTTGTTGAACAATAGGAGTTTGATAGTACCTTTAGAATATGATTTTCTCTATTTTTTCTGTAAAATTGTTGAGGACTTGTTGAGGTTTAGCATTTTAAAGCGATCTGGCGCAATAACTCATTTATTTCAGATGTTGGACTTGTACGCAAGATCTTCAATTGAATTAAACCTTTTTTCAATTTATTTTATTTTATAAATTAGTAAAAGTAATAAATTATTTAACAATTAGTTATTTTGTCATAATAACCTAAATTAATTTTTAAAATTTGAAGATTTTAGTTAGTGGGTCGTAGAAAAACTATACTATACAACTCGAATGTAACTGTGCAAACTAGCGCAGATACACTTTTTTCTTTTACAACTACTTTTAGCTGTTAGGAGTTACGTAGGTGAAACAATCACTGCAGGAAAGGATGATATTATTTATTATTTAACTTTATTACACTAAGTGAATCGTTTAATGTTGTACCAACAGGGAGCTGCATCTGTATCACAATAGCAAAAAGATAATGATTTAAAGTTTTTTATTTTAATAGATCTAAAAACGGTCCTGCAAGTGAGATTCGAAAACAAACGGATCATCACAATTGGTCAAGCGGTGAAAGTCTTTAAATAAATACAGATTTTTCTTTACATTGTAAGAATTTACATCGATTTACATTTTTTACGGTTATGTTACTTTTTAAGAGAGTTCAGAAGATTAATGAGTATTTTTGTACTAATTAATAAAAAATTGCTTAATTAACAGAAATATTTAGATAATTATGTCCAGTTATGGATATATGAATAGTCTTCATTATTTCTGTTTCATCGTAAAAATATAATAAAAATTAACAAGGTATTACTAGCGGTATTATTTGGTATAAAGTTCCTAAAAACAAATAGTTAGTTTGAAAAATATTAAATATATAATAATATATGTACAGTGTGTCCCGCTTTTCATGAGTAGGTACATCCTAATATATCAGTTATTAATTATGCGAATTTCTTTAAATTTTGGTGGTGATTGTATGTTAGAAAAATGAAGTATTTGGCATAGTAAATATTTTTATTTACCATTGGCATTCGGTGTTGGGGGGTAAAAAAGGCTTTATTTTTTGGGGAAAAGATATTAGAGCATATTTTAGATAACTTTTTCTAACAGATTTAGAATCGGCATCCCAAAAAACCCCTTAATTCATATTTTCAAAATCTCAAGAGCTGATTTTAGCAGAAAAATAAATTAATTTATTTTAAGTACCTTTTTCTAATAGGTTGATTATTTTTAATGTTTTAGTTTAAATGCCCTAATCCTATTGCGTTCCAAACACCTCCATACCGTTTTTGTTAAATTCAGTATCCTCGTAAATGCTGTTATTACTATAATTTAGATTTTTTTGAAATTTTGCTAAGATACTCGCGCTCTGTTACCGTTCGCATGCTGAACCGTGTTGTTTTTGAGCAAGTTAATCAAAGAGTGCTTTGAAACAAATGTTTTTGTTTGTCATTTAGTAATTCGTAAGAAACGAAAATAAGTATCAAGCAGTGTTACTTAACTGTTAATAAAATGGCACAAAACCGAAGAGTAGTTCTTACAATTGGAGAAAAAGTAGAAATTATCCGCTTATTTGGTAATAATGAAAGATCTACGCGTCAGATTGCTGGAATATTCAATGAAAGGCATCATGATCGATTACCAATTTCTCACAATACCGTTGCTGAAATCAACAGAATGTTCGCAAGAACTGAAGCGGTTTTCAAGACAAGACCAAGGAGGTACAATTTAAATCAAATGCACTATCCAGACGACGAACGTATCTAAGCAGAATTTCGAAACAACCCAAATGGTAGTATAAGAGCATTTGCGAGGATACTGAATTTAACGAAAAACAAAGTATGGAGATGTTTGAAACGCAATACGATTAGGGCATTTAAACCAAAATGTCTACATACTCTGTTAAATGGTGATTTTAAACGGCGGTTTAAATTTTGCTTATCGTTGCAAGGAAACTATCTTAACTAAAGAACATAATGTTTACTGATCAGCCAAGATTTACGACAAACGGTGTGGTATCTAGTCAAAATTGGGGCAGCCGAAAATCTGAATTGGGTAATTAATTGTAATAACCAATACAGTGAAAAAGTTAACGTGTGGTGTGGAATATTTAACGAACGAATTGTTCGACCTTTTTTCCTGGATAACCTGAACGGAGAACATTTTCTACATTTTTACAAAATGCTTTTTATGATTTTCTCATGAAGTTGCCTTTAGCACAGAGACACAACTTATTCTTTCAATTAGATGGTGCCCCCGCACATAATTCTCTGATAGGATCTTTTTAAATGCAACTTTCCTTATGACGTGGATAGGTAGAAATTCTCCTTTAGAACCGTGGCCACCCAGATCGCCAGATATTACCCCTTGTGATTTTTTTCTGTGGGAGCACTTAAAAAATAAAGTGTAACTCGGCCGCGTAATACGAAGCAGCTTTGCATTAGAGTTGGGCAAGCGTGTCAGGATGTTACTCCTGAAAGAAGAAGAAGAAGAAGAATTGTTGTGAGAAGAAATCATGTGATTCGTAATTTTGTTACCACTTTTTCAAATAAGGAAGTTTTTTTCTGCTAAAATCAACTCTTGAGATTTTGAAATTATGAATTAGGGGTTTTTTGGGATGCTGGTTCTAAATCTGATACAAAAAGTTATCTAAAATAAGCTCTAATATCCTTTTCCCAAAAAATAAAGCCATTTTTACCCCCAATACCGAACGCCAATGGTAAATAAAAATGTTCACTATGCCAAATATTTTATTTTTCTAACATACAATCACCATCAAAATTTGAAGAAAATCGCATTATTAATAACTGAGATATTAGGGTGTACTGATGAAAACCGGGACATACTGTATAATAAAGTTATGCGCGTTACTATTATTTTCGATGTTTCCATAACTACTGGCTTTCCAAATCCGTCCCTTGTAATCTACCCAGTTTTTGATAATTAAGAATTAACCATATGGATACAATAAGAGATAATTCATTTCATTTCATTATTTTTATTAATATCTATTCTCTTTCCTAAAAGTATGTCAGCGAATTGCTATAAAAATACCTACAAAATGATAATTGTGTCAATTATTTTATTATTAGCAATTATTCCAAATTCGATTACTGTTGAAATAGCAGATGTAGAAACTTCATTGAGTAAAGTTTTAAATTTCATTGATGAACAAGTTGATCAGTTTGGACTTGATGGCATTTTCGGTGTTGTTATAGCTCAATGTAAGTACATGCATTTATTTTTAAGTTAGTTGATTAATTTCATATTGATTTTCAGCACAAATGATAAAAATTCTAAACTTACCAGTTCCATACATCATTCTATCGGACATTAGAAACCTTATAACAAAATGTCAACTTATATTGGAAAACTCAAAAAAGTTTCTTCCTATATATCCTTCATATATGTTGACCTGTAAGTTAAAATCGTCCTAACATTTGAAAATGAAACGACTTACTATTAATTTTTTAGTTAAAATCAGACTTTTGAATTCGAAAAATTGGATACGTAGTTTACCAGACAATATAACATTTGGAGACATCCCTAATACTGGTTTTTTACAAAAATTGGACATCGGAAATAATTCTGAGTAACAAAAAAGCTGAATTTAGGGGTGTAAAATCAGATGTCTGTTTAAAAGAACTACTAGAATATTCTACAAATAATGACGTATGTTTTCTAAGTAAATTTTGCCAGGAAATGATGCTAAACGTATCTAGAATAGATTCTGGATATCTATTAACCCATAGGTAAGTTCTGCTTGTAACCTACTACTAATAAACTTTTCAATATAATATATTTTTTAGGCTTCTTTACCTTCAAATTAAAAGATTGCAAGGTTGTAGATTGCCTGGAGATATGACAGACACAAAAGGATATACAAAATTGTTTTGCACATACATTTATAAGGAAGCAAAGACTAGTGAATACTTGGGTTATCCGTATCATGATATTTTTTTGGAACAAGGTAATGATTGTATTCGTTTAAAGTAAACATTATAGAAGCATAGAAGGGACATAATAAAATAATAGTAGTTTGTGCAACAATAGTGGATATGGACAATTCACTCAAGTTGTACAGTATATTTTATCTACGACCCACTAAAGAAAATTTAAAAAATTATTTTAGGTTATTAACACAAAATACTTATTTTAAAATAATTTTTGACCCTTACTAATTTATAAAATAAAATAAACATGAAAAAAAAATAATTTAATTTAATTAGTCCCCAGACCAGATTTCAACACAGGTATCTCGTGTGGAAGACAAACGTCATGCTCTCACCTCCACAGCCACACTCACGATTTTAGTTTTAATATTGGTAATTAAATAAGTTTCTTAAGGTTTTATTAAAATTAACAAATTATTTATAATTATAGAGGAAATAAAAAGAGAAATGCTATTATTTATCGATTCTACACAAGAATAACTCATTCTAATATATATTTAATCTCATAATAACTAAAAAGTATACTGATAATTAGTTTGACAGAGTTTTACTTATTTCAAATTTAAAAAAAATAGTAGTCAGGTTACCAAAATATGAACTGTGATTGGTGAATTTAATTTTTTTGCAGTGTTCTCGCTACCTAGAATGGATATGGAATATATTCGTTCAGTTGAAAACAATAGCATACTTTTTCGTTTTGTAGTCTGTGTGTAGGTTAATGTTCATTCAAAAATATACTTTTTTTACATCCACAGATTTGTGACCGAAAATATTGTCTCCAATGAATATTGAACTGATAAAAAATGGTCCAACCTATTCAACAACTCAAATTGCGTTTTTCCGAAAGATAAGACAAGCGAAAATTTTCTGAATCATACTTCACTCGAATTTTGCCAAATAATGAACAAATCAACCGTGATTGGCTTCTATACTGGGTAGCGAAAAATTCAGTGTTTTGTTTTTGTTGCAGAACATTTAACACTAATACTGCAAAGGCCTGATTGACTGATGAAAATGGCTACAATGATTGGCAACATTTGAATGAACATTTAAATATTCACGAAAAAAGCAAAATGCATTTTGAAATTCTTAAAAATGTTTAACTAGATTTAAAACAAACAATACGATTGATCTAACTCATAAATATTTGTTTAATGCTGAAATTAAATATTAGCATGCAGTTATTGAGCGAGTTTTTATCTAAACAAAATCTGGCATTCCGCGGTTAAAATTTGAAGTTGTTTCAAAATAATAACGGTAATTTCTTGAAATGTGTGGAAATGATTTCCAAATTTGAAACATGTATACGGCATATATTGATTACAGAAAAGCCTTCGACTCGGTGCCTAATAAAAATCCTAAGAATATATAAGATACACCCAAATATTACATTCTTAGAAGATACAATGGCAAGATGGTAAACAATCTTAATTATAAATGCAGTAAATGCCTGTGCAACAACAACAAAACCGTTGCCAATAAAGAGAGGCATATTTCAAGGAGATTCTCTCAGTCCCCTATGGGTTCTGCCTGGCAATTAATCCACTGTTAAAAATGCTAGATAAAGGAACAACTGGTTATAAAATTACTAGCTATAACGATAATGTTCTTTTCATTTACATGAATGATATTAAGATTTACACGAATAGCCAGAAACATTTACTCTAAAGTCTAAAAATAATAATAATGTTCAGTAGAAACATAGCTATGGAGTTTGGCATTGAAAAATGAAGAAATACGTAGGAATGTATCAGTCAAGACTAACAGAAGGCAAACAAATGAAAAAACAGTTTTGTGAAAAATATAAAGACATTAAAGAAAATTACAACAACCAAGATCAATAAAAAATATATTATTAAAGCGATAAATACATTTGCTGTACCAGTACTGATATATTCCTTTGGAGTGATTCATTGGACAGACACTGATATCGCAAATATAAAACGTTGTACGGCTAAAATGCTTACTAATGCCAACTTTCATCACCCAAAATCTGCTGTAGAACGACTAATATTACCAAGAACCAAAGGGGGAAGATGACTTCTTTAGGTAGCTTGTTAAATAAACAGAAAAACTAACTTAGAGAATACTTCTATAGCAAAAAAAGTGTATCACTCGATTATTATTGCCGCAGATGAACATTAGTCTCAACTTAACCTTGCTAATGAAATTACGTTTCCCACAGAATTACACGGTAGGCATGCCCAGGAACTTGAACAGCATCCTTTCGACAAACTGGCGTCGAACGCATGGTTGACAACTGCTGGGTTGCACCCTGAAACTGAGGGTGCCATACAGAACCAAGTAATAAACACCAAAAATTACAGAAAGCATATAATTAAAGATTGAACAGTTGATGATATATGTGGAAAATGTCATGCGGGAACAGCACATATTCAACATATTATCTCAGGATGTCAAGCTCTGGCGCAAGAAGAATACAAAAGAATATTTCTTTTTAATAAATGATTTTCAAGTTATTTGTACGTAGTTTGATGTTTTTTGATTATATTATCCAAGTAACATTGCCTTTGAACATCAACACCTTTTTTGATGATTAATGTAGATGTAGGCAACACATTATACACTACTTTCAGTTTTATATCTATTTCTTAAAATAATGTGATCATATAAAAAATCTTGTGTGCATTTTGAGAGTTCGTTGCTGCTTTCGACTGATTGCTGCTATTAAAATGTTGAATGTACATAGTACATATAAAATATAAAAAGTATATGTACTAATTTAGCAAAAGGCGACGACGATGATGCTCAAGCGGGTTGTAACGGCCCTGGTTCTAAGAATACCAACAGTCGAAGAAGAGAGCAAAAATCGCAAAAAAATATGAAAAAAAGGCCGCATGACCACGTCAATATTGAAGTTCTACCTACAGTTTCTGGACAACTAATACCTAATGAGAAGGCTCATAAGGGCCAAACCATTTGAATTAATGATGGAGGAGAATCTGTGTGTGTATTCCGACGAGAATTGGAAACTGATTGACTTTAAATCTACAAATTCGACTGTTGTAACCATGTGCTTCGATAGCCCAATTGGTAGAAGCGCCGATGGCTCTATTAGGAAGGTTCCAAGTTTGATCCCTGGTCGAAGCATTCGTTTTTTCTTTAGTTTGTTTTCACATTGGGGATGTGAGGTGTAGGTGAATAGTAGGTTATATATTTTCATATTTCCAAAATTGCATTTTAGTTTTCGGATCTCAACTGATTTTCTCACTTTTCTTTATGATTTAAAAGTAAAACGCAGTACTCGGGTGCAGTACATAGTTCCGAACTTTGACCAGAAAATAGAAGATACCATTAGATGAACTCTTATTTTTAAGCTTCTGACGCACCTTGGGCAATAGTTATTTCTGAACCCACTTCATAAAATTTGAATGTTCATGTGATCATGATAGTCTCCACCTCTGCAACCTAAAATAAATTATTTAGAGGCTTCCCTAAAACATTGATAACAGAAGCGTATCTTTAGAATAATGTTAAACATTGTTTTCACAAAACAAAAATGTTTTAAGAATTTAAATCAATTTGAGTTAATCTGTTTTCATGATCGAAGGGGTTAATGGCTAAAATACGTTTTGAAATGGTCATTAAAACGACTTTATTAAACGTACTGGCTAGCCGACCGCCGGCTGTAGTTGAATTTAATAAAACGAAAATCGTCTTCCGGCGGCATGGTCTTCTCACATATAAGAAAACCGCCGAAGATCTAAACTGATTTGTTGATGAGGGCGGCAGTTTACCTGGGGGGCTATTTTTAAAGTATGGGATCACTCATTTCTCTCAAGATTCTCATCAGAAATGTCACACGTCAATGTGGAAATGTTGTTTTTAAAGGCATCGAGGATTAAAATTCTTAGGAAGATTTTAATTCTTTCTAAATAAACCGAGAGAAACAGTCAGTGAGTTCACACTGGCCCTAAGAGCCCTAAAAATACGATTTTACGTTGACGTATGACATTTCTCTTGAGAGAAATGAATTCTCTCGAGTTTGAAAATAGCCCCCCTGGATAGCTATTCACTAAGTCATGGGAGCGCTCCCATGGGAGTGCTCCCATATATTTTGCTCTCTTACTCTTAGGTGGGTATATCGTGCTTACTCACTTTTAGCCCAGGTACATGCGTAGTAAGGTCAGATTTTATACTATGGGAGGGAGAATTGCGGGCTTGCCAGATTAGGTCCGTATTTATCACAAAGCAAATTTGAACTACTAAGGGCCGATTCCACCGTTGAGTTAAACGGAGATTAAAATGACATTGTTAATGTAAAAATGTCATTTTAAACTTCGTTTAACACAACGGTGGATCGGTCCTTAAATAGTAGATCAAAGTTATTCTGTCGACTTGGCAACGTTGGCATGGGAGTATGGGAGCATGGGAGTGTGGGAGTGCTCCCATGAGTTAGAGAATAGGTATCCTGATGTTGCGATACCAGTAAAGTATCGATACTGGTATCGAAAGGAGTATCGGAACCAAAGTATCGATACCGGTATCGAAAGGGTATCGGAACAAAAGTATCGATACCTATATCGGAAAGAGTACAGAACAACCAAAAAAAAAAAAGGGTACACGCCGACATATCATACCATAAAGGTATCCTACAATATACATTTTGTAGTAAAATTATTGAAACGAAAGAAGTAGTATCGAAACAAAAGTAGTACCCATATGAGTAAAGTATCGAAAGCAAAGTATCGGGTACTAAATTACCCGGTATCGAAAGAAAAGTATCGATACCAGTATCATATCAGTAGTATCGCAACATCCCTAGCAGGCTATCAGAGTATTGATAAAGCTGCCGGACGACGGTCTACTGTATTTAAAACATTAAATGCCGCCGGAAAAAACTCGCTTATCGGTGACAACACTAATCATTTGTAATTGCTGTGGTGGGAGGTGTCTGTGTGAATGCGTCTTGTTTATTTTCATTTACACCGTGACTAGCAGTATTATTTTATAAACCTTAGACGCAAATTTCACATACATGAACAAATAATAATAATGCCGTGACAGCAAGAAGACGAAGCAACGACTTATCGTAGGGTGGCGGCTTCGCCGCCACCATAAAATTTCAATCTATACCTGGCTACGCCGACCGGCATAAACACCAACGGCCCGGACACAGCTCATCTACTCTGTCAAAAGGAGACCGATGTACAAATAAAACGCCTACGACATATGATCATTTGCCACAAAAATGGAGACGATTTTACAAGTATTTTTTCTTACCACCGGCATTCAATGTTTTAAATACAGTAGACCGTCGTCCGGCGGCATTTTTTTTCAATTCCCTGATAGCATGCCGCCCTGATCAACAAATCAGTTTAGATTTGCGGCGGCTTTCTTATATGTAAGAAGACCATGCCGCCGGAAGACGGTTTTCTTTTCAACAAATGCAAGCACCGCCGGCGGTCGGTTAGCCAGTATGTTTATTAAAATATGTAATAATCGTAATAAATTAGAATATAAAGTGACACAATTTAAAAACTTACAATGGGCTATATATATCTCACAAACGAAATATGATATCAAAAATTGTACAGGGTGAATCAGTAATTGTGAAACCTTGCCTTAAAAGGAAAATCAGAGGAAGTGTTTGTTTGACTACAAATTTGTTAAAAATGTCAATGAAGTAAATGTTCAAAGTAGGTTCCGTTGTTTTGTATACAATAATACAGCCTATTTTCAAAGTCTGCACGAACTTTGACAAATGTTTTTCTAGTAATTGCGCGACATGCTTGAGGTTGAGTTTTATAAACAACTGATTTGAGGTAACCCCATAGAAAAAAATCAGGTTGCGTTAAGTCTGGTGACCTCGGTTGCTACTCAATAGGACCTCTCTTTCGAATCCATTTGTTCGGATGATTAGTATCCAACTAGTGCCTAACTGCAGCTGCATAGTGAGGAGGTGCTCCATATTGTTGGAAGCGCAGCAAATCTTCGTCTAGAGCTAGATTACCTTGGTCGTCCTTTTGGTTCTCTAATTCATGCACAATTAAAGGTTCGATTGTGTTTTCCAGCATATCTAGATAAATGTCGCCACTTAAATTCCCTGGTATAAACAAGGGGCCAATTAAAGGATATTGAGTGTGACCTTCTCTAAATCGATGCGGTTTCGCAGTACCGACAGTTTTGTTTATTTACATTACCATTCAGCATAAAAGTACATTCATCACTAACACAAATATTTTTTAATAGTCTAGGTTCAACGCGAATTCTTTCAGTCATGAGTTAACAAAACTCAATCAACACCTTCCTAACCAACTCACTTGATAGTCCTGTCATTGCAGATACTTGACGTGTTGATGCAGTAGGCTCTATTGCAAATTGTCCAAGGACCTCAGTTCCACTTGCTTCATTCAGTAATCTTGGGGCATCCCTTTTTTATTTTGCACTGATCCCGTTTCTCTTAACTTTTCAACTAAATCGCGGATGTACACGTGACTTACATTTTTGTCCGGATGCCTCTCATTAAATATTTGAGCTGTTCATAAATATCACTGAAGCCAAATATAAAAAGTATTTCCACACGTTCAGGGCAGGGATTCTTATGTGCGTACTTAACACGTAACCAATCGAATAGACCATAGTGACAACTACAGCTGAATGACAGTACCAATCGTACAAATGATGAACACTAATGACATTTAAATGTCTCAAATAAACAAAAAAATATTGACTGCGACAGAACCCATAAACAGATGTTTACAACTTGTTCTGCAAAATCGGCAAATTAATGTTTTTATTAACAACAAAAGTACCTACAGACACTTGTTCTTGATAGTAAGGTTTTATTGGCCTTTAGAGCTTTTTAACATTGTATCACAAGTAGGGTATATACACTTTTGTTTTAAAGTAAAATTTAATTTTCAGTTGTTTTGTGCGGCATGGAAGGTTTTTCAGAATTCCTGAATGAAAATTGGTTGGAGAAAATTTTAAAATGGCAAAATCCCCATGGATGCTACGAAAGTGTTAATAGAAATGTAGAAAAAAGAACAAGTAGAGTTGTTGCATATGGCTGTTCGGATCATTCAACAGGTTTAGGTGCTGCAGCTATGAGTTTGTATCTTAAGTATTTAATTATTGAAAAATACCAAATCAATAAATAATACAAATAATTAGTTTATTCAATATACCTACTTGTATGCAAAATTATATCAAAAATATACCGTATTATTTTATGCCTGATATAGCAAAATTAACCAAAAAATAAATATAATAAATTGTTACAAAAAAGTAATTATTATTTGATAACTTTTTAGTATATTATGGATATCTTTCTGATATTACGAAAAGTAGGTCATAAGAAATTTTTAAATTAAAATTATATTATAAATTGGGTTTTCCAACATGCGACATAAATAAATAGATTGTTAAAATTATCTGGATAATGACAATTTTCTAGAATTAGAAAACAAACATATCTATTTATTATCTATAATTTCGGTAATAGTCAAGTTTGTATTACTTATTATAATATTGTTTAAAATATCGTTTTAAAACAAGTTTAAATATGAATAAACAACAAAACAATAATAATGCAAAAGCACAAGTCCAAATTATTTTGTTTTCTTCTGAATAATATAAAGGGGAACTTAACTGATAAAAATCTGATTTGTCCAACACATGATTTTTCTGTCTAGTTATTACAGGCTTTTTCCGATTATTTTGTACAACCTATTGTATCCCCCCTATAAATGTTTAGAGGATGAACTAAATATATGCATTTTCCACATACATCTTACTCGAATCATTTTTTTCTATATACTCATTGCCAACGAAATTACTGAACTAAAACACCCACATGCTCTAGAATCCACAGTCTTAGCTAAAGTAGGATTTCTCAGGAAAGATGATGAAACCTATACAAAAACCTTCGAGGAAACGTTAACAATGCTCACAGAAATACACTTTCCGGCCGCAGAAATTTTGCCCGATAGTAGCATACAGCCCTCAAAGAAGGTCTCGTAGGCCAACTCCTTTTGAAAGGAGGCTAGCTACAGAAATATTGAGGCCGAGAATGACTCCAACAGCAACTATAGTCATGCTAAACCTAACACCACTACATATATTCATTCAAGGTGAAGCCAGGTCTGTCACATAAAGACTGCACAAAGGTTCATCGCCCATAAGCAGTTTGCATGGACGCGACTACAGCAAGCTATATAAAGAGTTTGAGAACGACCAAATAATGGGAATAAAATAAGTATACTAGACAGGGAAGCGTGGACGGGAGGACCTCCTTCCTATTCATGCACATTTCACCTGGCATACAAACGGCTCCAAAACCCATGAAGGTTTAGGATTAGGTATATATACAGTGAGCACCATAAGTCTTACCCCCCCTATCTAACTCATTACTGGAGTCTTCTTAGGAAAATTGCCGAGACAAGTCGATTTTTGATTTCTACAATGTACATTTTTGTATGATTAGTTTACCCTTAATTTCATCCCTTACTGGAGGGGAGCAACCCTTTTGAAAAATTAAAATGTACTGTATAGTACCAAGCCAAAGACAAGAATCTCACTGAGCTTAAGTAAACATGCGACAGTATTCCAGGCAGAAATAGCAGCAATACATCACTTCACAAAAGAAGTATTAAGACAGAAGGTAAATGGTAAAACCATTGTCATATACTCAGACAGTCAAGCGACGCTAAAAGCACTCAGTTCCATACAGGTAAACACAAAGTTTGTGTGGGACTGTTTGGAAGCCCTAACAGAGCTGGATAGTCAAAACAGACTAACCTTAGCCTGGGTACCAGGCCACAGAGGACATAAGGGCAATGAAGAGGCTGATTTACTAGCCCGAGAAGGAGCCTCAAATGCTCTTATTGGTACAGAACCCTTCTGTAGTGTAACAAAAACAACTATCAGAACATGCACAAAGCAGTGGATGTTTAAAACATTTCAGGTGTGGTGGAAAAACTCACCAGGACAGAGACAGGCCAAAGAGTTCTTAAAAGGACCATCGCCTAAGCTCAACGATCATCTACTAAGCCACTAAGCCTTAATAGGAAAAATACTAGAGTACTACTAGGTCTATTATTACAAAAAATGTTTTTAAAGTAGACCTTGAAAAAATTCATCCATGTCGGAGTGTACAATTTTTCTTCTTTTTAAATATCAGCTTCGATTTAATTCAAAACCGTGCGTACTTATCAGGGACATGGCTCGTATCGCTCTCTTATCGGTCATAGCCTGCTTTAGAAACATTTTTCTGGATCGCTCTTTAATACGGTATCAGTTTTAATTTGTGTTGGTACCTCAATTAATTAGCAGTCGACTTTTTGTTAGGTACTTGCACAATATGTACAATAATTTTATTTTTCAAATTTTTTCGAGTTTGTAGTGATCTAAATTTTTAAAAACCTTTATCTAAAAAAAGTAATGGAATATAATACAGGTGAATCGGTTACAATTACATAATATACATATATTACACCCACTATTTGGACTGTTAGAGCAGCGTATAAAAAATCACCAAATATTTACGCACGTAGGATGTCATTTAGTAGAAATTGCATCAATCTCATTCACTGGCTAAGAATGCTGTTTCGCCAGGGACGTACGCTAACATTTTTTTAAGTTCTACCAAATCTTTAAAATTCATATTAACTCGCTTCGTTCAATTGAAGCTTCATTTTAGAAAATATACATACCTAATTATATTAGAACATAAAAAATATTTTATTCCAATAAACAATCGCCAAATTTTTGCATTAAAATTTAGTTTCTTGGTGTCCTTATATGTATATAAATCATCGTGTTACGAAATAGTTTTCCATTAGACATAAATTAATTTTTCCTTTCATGTGCTAGTTCTTTTCCCTTTCTCTAATTTGTGTTATTATTCCAGTGGCGGCTTGTACGTATGGACTTTGGGTGACCGACCTCCCTGTTAAATACTCCTGTCCCGTTTCAACCCCAGAAAATAAAACAAAAAAAGAACGTCACCTTTTCTGCCAATCATTGTTGCTCAGTCCCAACACCCTGAATCATGAGTTTGTTAGTGCCTATAGCTTTTTTGCTGTTGAGTTGTTTTTTATCTACCCAGCTGGCACAAGAACATCCCATCTAAATTATTAAGCTGCAATTTTAGGCTCTTTAAGCTCGCGTGCAATGTACTTTTAATGTAACCCTAATATCCATGTAACCGCCGAATGTTCTCAACGTCAAGACTTTTATAGCACATCTCATAGAGGTTACAAAGTGAAGTTAGGAAAACATCACACTAGTACTTTTACGGTACTTTTCTTGAAAGTTTTATAGGTGTTATAAAGGTAAATTAGTTCTACAGCATTACACTGTGTTTCCATGGATGGACTTAACTATACTTGTAAAAATATTTATTTTAAATTAAAAAAAGTAATTCTTCATAATTTATTTTGCTTTTTAAATAAATACGATTCAAGTTGAGAAATTACGAAAAATGATTTTTAAATTTAAAATAAATATTTTTACGAGTATAGTTAAGTCCAACCGTGAACATCTGCCAGCATTAGTATCGTCTGTTATCTCTGTACGATACCAGAGATAACGAGGAGATGTAACTACTAACAAATATCGCGCGGTCCTGAATAAGACATATTCTAAGGGATACAAGCGGGTATAATATCCGCTGTTGTCATATGCCTATTTCATTATTCTCGTTTTGTTTACATATATTAAAAAAGCTAAAATAATTCAACCTATTTTATTGCAACTGAATCCAAAAAAATTTGAATCATTAGTTATATTAAATTTAACTAAATTAGATGTAATAATTTTCAATAAACTCCCAAAGCTAGTGATGTTAGTTTAAAAATGGCAACAGGGCTTGCATCGGCATGGATATTTACGTTGTTTATTATAAGCGCACAGCGGTTTACACATTTATTCATTGAAAAATAAGTTGTATCTGCGTAAAATTCTTCTCTTTATCACTTTTCTTACTTCTCACATTTCGTCGCCTTGCCCTGTCCCTACAAATAGAGTGTATCGATTGTCGAATTAATCTTGGCATTGTGAATATTATATTTTATCAATGAATGGTTATATCTCTGTTATCACCGGACTGTCTATTATATGCGGATGAGTTTAAATTGTTTCGTGGTATTAGAGACATACATAATTATCTAGAGCTACAAAATGATGTAGATATAATTTTAAACTGCTTCATAAAAAATAAATTGTAATTTAACTTATCAAAATGTAATGTATTAACATATAGCAGAAAAAGAATCCACATAACTTTATATATGAAATGCAATATACATAATTGGAATTAGTATATGTGATCTGGGTATATTCTTTCAAAATTATTTGAAATTTGATCAGCATATACATATTATTACTAATGACAGTGGCGTAGCCACGTGGGGGGTTTTGGAGGTCAGAACCCCCCCCCCCCTCCATAGAGGGTCAATTTGACTTCTTGTATTCGTGTAAACGCACCTTAATAAAGGTACCATTTCGATAGGCGCGACAGACACGACCGCCAACGCGACAGACGACCGCCGACGCGACCGAGAAGTGTCTCTCCACGTCTAAAATACATACAATTATATGAAACACATTTCGCACGTTTGCGTGTCGCACTCGAGGTCACTGTCCTCAGGCATCGCTTCTTTTTGGAGGTGATTAGGTTGGAAATTTCTTTCGATGTAATGATGTAATGAAAAATAATAGGTACCTACTTGTTTAAGATCAGTCTAAATCAGGTAATTCAAAATTGTAGTGTTTGGCATATGCATGTTCTTTTTATGATGCCCTATTAATTCTTTGTTTCATTTTAAATAAAAACAATGATTATCTTGATGTTTTTTTTTTATGGAGCTAACCTACAGTAGTGGATGCCTTATTACGCTGCTTTTACTGCAGAAAATTTACTAGAGAAAATATTCTTTAACCATTTGCTGAAGAATGAGGCAAACTTAATAAATTTGCTAGAGACAAAAACAGTGGATCTACGTAAAAACAGTAGATCTGGCAACGCTGATCGTTCCCTCGAATGGTTATCCTGTGTCTCGCGACCCGTCTCCAAGCTTCTGAAATGTACGGAGCGTAACACATGGAGGAAGGATTGCGTAACATTTACGCATCTGTCGTCCTCGGTTTACGATTTAGTTACTTCTTTAACTATTATTAAAGTAAATGATATGTATATTGAAATTAAAGTGGCTAAAGTTTAAATCGTTGCACTTATTTCATTAATTTGACATATTAGTGGAGGGGGGGCATGACAGATCTAAAATATGAATAATCTAAGTTTATGGTAAATAAGAAAGCTATTCAGTGAATTAAAAAAAATCTACAAATGAAGAGCAAACTGGACCTCGAGCGAAAAGCGAAAATGTTATAAGGATTTTCTAATATAAAATTGTATTTATATGCGCGCCACTGGGAATACTTCACGATGTTATGTGTCTCGAGAATATTGAGAGCTTTAAATTTGTGCAATGATAAGGCAGCATGCCACAGAGACATTTAGGAAAATAAGGTGGGAACCCCTCCCATTTAAAACCTGCTAGATATTTATTAAAACAAAAAGCAGCAAATTTTCATAGATTTAATACATAATGGCGCGTAAATGTTTTTTTTTTATTCCTTTTAAAAATTATCAACACAAATACTTTTCGAAGATTTACAAAAAAAAATCAATGTTTCTCCACCTTAAGTTTTGTTATTATAGGTATTTCCTGAAAATTTCACAAAATCGAACTAAAAATAAAGGCTCAGAAGGAATTATAAATCTTCAAGGTGTCCGGTTTGCTCTTAATAGTTAAAATTGTCATTATATTATTTCGACTCCTTAGATGTATTATTCTTCTCTCCTTTGTCATGGTTTGCGCTATTTCAGTTTCAATTTTTTTACAGTCATATAAATACTAACGTGCTAACAATGGGTGCTATGATTGAACGTTTACGTTATCCGTAACGTACATGTTAGGCCGAGTTTTAACAGTAATGAGGCAAGTTCGTATGATGGAAAACTTTTTCCAACACATTACTGTTATTTTCCGCCTGTTATCTTCTAATTTAACAATTTTCCATCATCCGAACTTGACTCGTTACTTTTAAAATTCGGCCTAACATGTACGTTACGGATAACGTAAACGTTCAATAGAGAGTTGAAGCGTTTCCAGTACGTTAACGTAAACGTGAACGTCAACGCACAAAAATAATGTTTACGGTATAGTCCAAAATATGAGTTGAAGTTATTAAACGCATCGTGACATTTACGTGTCATGACAGATAATGACAATTATTATTAGGATTTCTTCATTTTCAATTAAAACAGAGGTTATGTTATTTGCGTTACGTGCATACGCCAGAGCCCGCAAGTTTACGTATGTACGTAGACGTAAACATGACGGATATTTGAATGCGCATGCGTAGATGTCAATTTTTACGTATACGTTTACGTTCCTAGCATCACTTCAACTCTCTAATCATAGCACCCAATATCCCACTATGATATCTGCCTCTTCTTTCTTCTCTCAACATGTTTTTTAGTAGAATAGACTGATCAGTCAAGCGTAAAACATTTTTTAACCCACAGGTTCATTTAAAACTTTATTTATGAATCATTACGGTTTTTCATTTTCTATGGATTATTTTTCGTAGATATTTAAATTTTTACACGCCCATGACATCACTTACCGATGTATCGCCAAAAAAATTGTCGATCCAATGACACGTCGATGTTCCTTTTAAATCAGTTGTAGCAACTTTCTTCGCCATATTAAGACATTCAAATGACTAGAGACATTGACTTAAGAGTCTGTTTACATGGACATATACAGTGCGAAAAAATGTGATATCATTAAATAAACAATTTGAAAATTACAAATTATACCATAAATGAAGTTTTCACATTTAGCAGATAAGTTCAAATACATGTCGATTAATGTCGTTGTTAATATGTCTCCCTTTTGTGAACCGATAAATTTAGAAAATTGAAATTTGTCATAGGATAATCCATATATAAATGCGAAACACCACTCACTGGACTCATCACGAGAACTCCAAAACTATAAGCCCGAATTCACTTTAAATTATGCATAGTTATTCCTTTCCAGTGTCGCCAACTTTGAAGTAAGCTTTTCCCTCGGCTTACCTTTAAAATTCCCACTTTTATGAAAAAACTCCCTTCGGTTAACAAAATCGGTTTTATACCAGATTTGTATGTACATATTTTCCAAAAAATAAAGAAAACGAACGTACATAACTAAGTATAAAAAGTATAATCTAAAAAACAAATCTTTTAACAAAACTTTAAAAATACTAGGATAGAATGAAAAGTTTCCGACCTAACCTATAGTAGGCCCGATTTGCTTTCCTGTTCCAACGTGTCTGTGTAGCCTTGCTTGTCGTCAGTATACGCTCGAAGTTTAACGTGAGTGCGTCAAGTAGTTTGTGTCCCGGGTATTTTAAAAGCTTATAAAGTGCGCCACTTTTAAAAGATGGAAGAAAACGAGATAAGAGCGGTGATAAAATATTTCCATATCAAAGGATTATCGCCGACGGAAATAAAAGCTGAACTAGATGCTACACTAGGGGAATCTGCTCCTTCATTTGCCACAGTTAAAACCTGGGTAGCCGACTTTAAACGTGGTCGTACTAGCACTGATGATGCTCCGCGTTCTGGCAGGCCAGAAACGGCAACTTCTGAAGAAATGGTGCAAACCGTTCACAAACTAATTCTAAAAGATCGCAGATTAAAATTGGAAAAGGTAGCTGAGGCTGTGGGCATATCAAAAGAGCGAGTTCACTATATTTTGTGTGAAGTTTTAGGTATGAGAAAGCTCTCCGCCCGATGGGTGCCGCGTTTGCTCACGTCAGATCAAAAGCTCACGCGGTTAACCATTTCAGAGGAGAATTTGGCACTGTTTAAACGTGATCCAGGGGACTTTTTGCGTAGATTTATTACGGTCAGGGCCGCCGAGAGCCAGACCGGGGCCCAGGACAATTCTCCAAATCGGGCCCCGCGATAATTTTATAGCAAAAATTTCTCCTTCTCTACTAGAATTTCTGTACTCTAAAAAAAAAGTCTAAAAACGTCCCCTCTCTTCTGTCAAACTTCTGAAAGTAACAAACATCACCACTGGCCGGGCCCCCATTTGAGCGCGGGCCCTGTGAATTAGTCTTGGCTGCCCCTCCCCTCTAGTCGGCCCTGATTACGATTGATGAAACATGGGTTTATCATTATACCCCTTAAACTAAACAACAGTCCCAACAGTGGACGGCAAAGGACGAACCAGTTCCAAAGAAGGCAAAGGCAGTACCGTCTGCTGGAAAGGTCATGGCAACGGTCTTTTGGGATGCTAAAGGGATACTCCTAATAGATTATCTCGAAAAGTGAAGAACAATAAATTCCGAGTACTACAGCGACTTACTGGACCAGCTTAAGCAGAATATAAGCGAAAAACGCCCTGGTTTGGCAAAAAAGAAAATTCTGTTTCATCAGGACAATGCACCTTGCGACAAGTCCGTTCTTGTAATGGCTAAAATTCATCAGCTAGGCTTTGAACTGGTAAACTATCCTCCGTATTCGCCAGACCTAGGTCCGTCAGACTTTTATTTGTTTCCAATCCTAAAAAAAAATCTTGCTGGCAAAAAGTTTTCCACGGATTGAGAAGTAATTGCAGCCACAAACGTCTATTTTGACGAGTTGGATAAATCAGACTACAGTGACGGTATTAAATCGCTTGAACATCGTTGGGTCAAATATATTACCCTACAAGGGCACTATGTAGAAAAATAAATTCTTATTCAGTCACTATTGTGTTGCGTTCTATGTTAGGCCGGAAACTTTTCGTCCCATCCTCGTATATTATAGAATTAACAATTTTAATTTATTTTTAAAATCATACGGTTTTCACAATTTGGACTGAAATAAAAAATTCCCGTTTTGAGTTAACTTTTCCCTTTTGTGTTGAAAATTCCCGCTCACGAGATAGGAGGTGCCTATCATCTTAGGAGGATGCACAATGGGCCTAGTGAGGCCTAAGTGCCGTGGGGGTAACCCATCCTCCGCACGTTACAGATACAAATAGTTCTTCTTACTTCTACACTCCATACACTTGATAATTTTCCAAAGTAATTGAAATATGACATAAATGTGCCGGAAAGTGACATTTCGATGTAACAATTTTTTTAACATTCCTCTTCTTTTTGTTCTTCTTTTTCTTCTATAGATGTGTACAGTCTCTTTCAAACCATTTATTCCGTTCTTTTCTAATTATTATTAGCTTTTATTCCTTAGACCAGCGTTACTCAAACTTTGGTCCGCGGAGCCCCAGGGCTCCGCAAAGCCTTTGTGGGGACTTCGCGAAGAAAATAATAGTCATAATTAAAAAAGCAGTCTATCGCTACAAAAGGGAGGGACCTTGGGTTGAGGACCTTTTTTTTTGTTAGTCGCCAAGACGAAGGATGATATGGACCTTTTTTTATTAGAAATGTGTTTAGGGCTCCGTCAAATATTTCGGTTTTCAAAAAATGTTTTCACCAAAAAAGTTTGAGAACCACTGCCTTAGACGAATTTTGTTCTCTTCTAGCCCCTATTTTTCTTATCCCTCTTCACAAGTTTTCGTAGGGTCTCCTCTTCATTCTTCTTTTGTTTCGTTCTGTCTCCATACTTTTTTTCATTCTATCTATGCTCATCCCCTTGATTTGACTAAACCAGTTAAGTTGTTTGTGTAGCTCATGAACTAGTCCTCTTCTAAATCTCTACTTATACGAAAATTTCATTCGTAAATGTCTTATAATAAATAAATAAAAATATATAATATGTATAGGTACAGAGTTTCTTAATAATTGTCCATTGTAACTAGTGTTTTATTTAAAATCTTAAAAATGATTTCTGTCCGCCTTTCCAATATTTTTGTTCATATTTAGCAAAAAGTTTAGACTCTTTAAATTATTGCAGCATGTAGTTTCTCGCTATTATTAGAAGCGTACCGGGGTTACGACTTTTCATTATTCTTCTCCACCTATCATAATCATTATACATATTTTTTAAATCTTCATTATTTCCTAAATTAGGTTAGGTTGAAAATGAGTGTGATGAACTCAGGCCTTCCACTGTTACCAAAATGGATCTATTGTGGTTCATGTCTAACTAAAGTTTTCCGTGCAAGCCACATTTTTTGATGAAGACCAAAGTTGAATTGGGTGGGTGAGACCTGTTAAAAGTCGGTAGGCTCCAGTCGGGTGAATCCGAAGATCTGAAACCTAGTTCTTTACAAAGCAGAGCAGATACATAAAATGTATCTGCTGTTTTTAATGTTTTATTCTTTAATTTACATAGAATGTGATCTACGGATTCGTAATCCACGCTGCAGAATCGACAGTCCGATATTTGTTGTAGACCTAACCATCTCATGTAGTTACCTAGACGACAATATCCTGTCATCAGTCCCTGGAGAATCAGTAGATCTTTCCTACTCTATTTTCAAATCCAAGCAGAGGTATTCATGGCATCGTTATTTATAGACGCATTCGAATAAATTTGTCCTGAGGTATCTCTCCAGTTTGTGAGTGTTACACCCTCCGTTCATTTGGAGATAATTTCTTTGGCAGTGCTCTTTACAATGACCGAAAATAGTTCAGGTTCTATGAACTGAGATTCGGTTCATCTTTTAGCGAGCGCGTCGGTTTTTTCATTATACCGGAACTTTGTTCCGGGCATCGAGATACTCAAGGGTATTTACACAGTTCCAAACCAGCTTTGAGTCAACTCGATTCGAGCTTAGGGCCTTGAGGGCTGCCTGGCTATCCGAAAACATCTTGATAGTCTTGTTAGCGATCATTTCTGCTTGGAAGATCGTGGTAAGAGAGCCCAGATTTATTAATGGTTTCTGGCCGAAAAATCCCACTGCTACTCCTACTCCTTTTTCAGTTTTGGAGCCTCATTATTATCCTCTTGTCTCATTGCGATAGAGTTAGTGGGTTTAATTGTATTACTTACTTGCATCTTATATGAGTTTTGTTGATTTCCCTAAGGGAGGAAACTAAGTTTGTACCTCTACCGTAAGGTTTTAGTGATAACGACAAACTATCTTCTAGACCAGGCCTGCACAACTGAGAAGGGCCAGTTTAAAAACCGTAAGTGTACGAGGGCCAAGAGAGTCCCTGAGCTTATAAATTTATAAAGCAGATCGAGGTGGTTTGTTCAGATTCTGAAAAAAAAGTCCTCACCATATAATTTTATAAATCAAGTCCTATGTTGAGCTTCGAAAGAAAGGTCGTCAGCTTAACTAAATGCAATGCAAGAAAACGACAATGGCGGGCCGCATGCAGCCCGCGGGCCGTATGTTATGCAGGCCTGTTCTAGATTATTATAATTTAATGTGTCCTAACATGCATAAACTTTTTACTATGGTATAAAAAAATATAACAGTGGGTAAAAATCATTTCTAAATGTTTAAATAAAAAATATCTCAGTTAAATGAAAAATGTAATCTATATGTTTTGGGATAAATATATTTTGGGTTAAAGATTTTCCAGTTACTCTATGGACAATTAATAATGAAATACCCTATACACAACACTTTGTCATAATAAAATTACATGATAAAATAAGAAATTTTATACAAATTATACTCTGTTAAATTTATTCGTAGTTTATGTATAATATTGACCGTTGATTCTAGACCCGTTTACTGAATTCTATTAGTAATTTTCATCTTCAAAGAATTATTCACACATACAGTTAAAAGCACATCTTTTTGAAATTCTTTATAAATCATTTTCAAATATTTTAGATTATTCACACCTTTTTAATTGTTACCTAATGACAATTAGACAAAAACAACAAAAAAAACAATTATTATCGTTAATATTCACGAATTATGAAGTCAATTAACAGGAAGCCAAGAATTTAACATGGAATTCATAGAATTTTTAGACTCAAGCAGCATGTGTCATAGGCATAAATGAGTAAGACATTTTTGGAATGATTGCGATGCACTCTATATTGGAAATTTTCTTAGATTAAAATTTTTTATTTTTACTTCTCGTGAACAGTGGCGTAGCATGTGCTAAAGGGCAGAGGGGGCGAAGCTTTTCTGGCGCACCCAATTATTTTTTTCTCGTATAATGAGTTATGCACATAAATAAAAATACTGATTGGAAATTAGCGAACATAATTCAAGAAATCATAGGGATGCCAGCTAAAACCGCTTTATCGCCATATTTTTGAAGTGTCGTTAATAAAAGAAAATCTTTCAATAGCTAAGCGTATCTATAAACAAGATACAATGACGTTTTGCCAAATCTAAATAATAAGATTTAGAAAACAAGACGTCTGGTCTTTACACTTTTCATTCCCTAGAAGGAGCCTGAAAGACTCTTATTTATTTTATTATAGTTAATTTAAAGTAATATTAATAAAACTATTTGTTAATCAAATAATTTATTTCAAATCCTTCTTTAAGTACCTACAATTTGTGTGCCTTTAAAGGAATTGGTAGAAATGAAGCCTTTATATTTTATGAAATAATGTTTAAAAATTATTTATTATATAAAATTGCGTTTGGCCTAATAAAAAAATATAAGTCAGTTAAAACACTGATTTCATTTGCGATTCTAAGCATGGAAGATATGGGAGAACGGGATGTACATGTTAACGTATGGGGGATTATTCTGAATAGTTGAGTAGATCTAATTCCACATCTCGGAACATTAAAATTAATAAAATTTAGAATATAGGGATCATATATATACTCATTAATTAATCACTTTCTTTATATATTTTAGGATCATCTGCAAATAGTACACAAGCAGACTCTTTTAGAACACTTGAAAAATCATTGATAAAAAACACAAAGAAAGAAGAGTAAGATTTGAGCCCTGATGAACTCCGGAGTTCACATTACATAAATTAGAATTTTGGCCCATATTTGAAATTTTCTATTTTGTAAATAAGTTTTAAATATTTTGTGATTCACCCCAAAATGGCTTAGCTTAAACAAGAGTATGTCGTGATTTATGTTTTCAAACGCTCTGAAAATTTCGTTTGTGAATTGTAGTAGGTTTGTATTTACCGATTTCTTGTTAGTTAATCCATGTTGCCATATATTTATGCTATGTTCTACGTGAAAATCAGTTGTTGATATATTATTTGCTCTATAGTAATTTTGCTGGCGCTGACAACATTTAAATACATCTATAATTTGAGATATTATTATTATCTTCTGATTTTTAAACGGACATACATTTTTTTATTTTTCTCGAAATGTTTTCGTTTTAATAGCTAAATTAAAAATCTGATGTCTTTCCTGTCTAGTTATTACATGCTTTTTCCGGTTATTTTGTACAACCTATTGTATTACACCAAAAATTCTAGATGTCGATATCGCAAACAACTTTTGACTGAAAAATTGAGGGGTCTAGAATCAAAGGGCGACAGTCTCATGGGCGTCGTTACACAATTTTATAGGAAGGAGCAAAATTTTGAAAAAATTTAGAATGTTTATTTGTTGAAAATCAAAGAAAATGCAAAACATGTCAACGAACACTAGGAAAACGCAAATTTTTAATTTCTTCTTCCTCTACCTGAAATAATCAATAACAGAAAACATGATTTATTTTTAGTTTTTTGCGATTATTTTTCGATGTACGCTTATTATGCAAAGCTTAGTCAGCCCATTTTCATTCATTATTAACTCTGTGCGTGACAGCAGCGCCAACTAATTTATGAACTTACGGACGATATTTGCGTATATAGATATAGATGTTCATTTTAATAAAAGTATATGGATTTGTAAAACAAGTGAAAAAATTAATTATTATATATTTTGATTACTTCAGCTAAAAAAAAGTATGATATATTGCCTACGCCTAATAAGTTGTCATTGAAAAATAGGTTAAATAATGTGAAAATAAAAACATTACCATTATATAATAACGTAGTATCAAAACGTATTAACAAAAATAATTGGTAAATTTGCGATTGTAATTTATATTTTTTTCATTTTTAGTTCGAAAGAACCCTTAGAAATTAATGATTAAAATTGGTTTCCTATCAATAAGTCACAAGATTGCATTTCAGCCACATACAATGATCAAAGACAGAAATCTAATCCTTGCTCAACATTTAAGAATTAATGGATGTTGAACAACATTGTAAAATAATAATTTATTGTTTATTTAAAATCTTTCAATTTTCCGATGTCTACTATTTTCAGTATTACTGTTATTATTACAAAAATAAAGATCCATTTATTTCATTGATTTAATTTCCCTTTTGCTACTGAAAATGTATATAATTTACACTGTTTTTTCTGCTAGTATTTTTACAATTTACAACACAGCAACTGCTATTGCTTTGGTTTTAAATACTTAAAAAAAAATAAAATGTATAGGTACGTGTAAGATATGGATATGGAATAAATATATTCAACCTATAATATTCGTCAACTGTATTGGCCTGAATATTATTTCTATGAGATTGTTTTCCGTAATTCGTGGCATTTAGATTTCTACACCTGTCATGTTTACCTATTTTCAATCAATTTAAAGGCTACCTGACATATGAAACTTTTTTTTAAGTTCCTGGGAAGGTTTAGGGTTGTTCTATTAATTTTTTTATATTTATTGGTGTTAAAGAATTATGCAATAATATTAAAAATTCGTCACTTTGATATATTGCAATATGTTTGATTCTAAATATGTACGAGATTAACTAATTAACTATTACAAAATACTAAAGGGTTGTTTATGTTATAAGTATTTATTAATAGGTAAACAGATAATATAAATCAGTGTTCATTAAGCTAAATTAAAACAAATGGTAACTTTTTAACAAATTGGCAGTCTGTAAAAACCAGCAGAACTAAACAGCATGGTAAGCCCGAAACTTATCACTCCATACGGCATCCTGATTGGCGGTTTGATATTTTGCCGGTTTTGGTACCAATTGGTACGTGGAGATTGTCGGGATTGAATCTGACCCTGAATTGAAACATTAAATTTCAATGGGATTTTAAGGGATTAGGTTCGCGTTTTTTATTTTTATCACTTATGCGTGTTTAAAACTCAGTGGCGTGCGGTGACATTTTTGGAAGGATAAGCGATTGTATAAAAATACAGCGGGGCAGTAAGCACAGCGCCGCAGGCGACAATTTTTCGCGGCACATTCACCATTTTGTCAAAATCTTGCTTTTTCCTCAGTACTACGGATATTCGTGATTGAGATTTTTTAATTGTTACTATTACTTTATTAGGGAGCGTTCAAGTATTACGTAACGAATTTGGGGGGAAGGGGGGTTTTTGTAAAATGTTACGATGCGTTACAGGAGCATTTGAACTACGCGTTACGCAACATTATTATTTTTTAACCCTTCAGAAAAGTTGCATAGAGAGTTTCTCTCACGCATTTTTTAAAACGTTTTTTTTTTCTCAAAATTTCAAGTCACCATTTGACCTTTTTTTACCTTCACAAAAACGTTACGGCGCGTTACATGGGGGGGTGGGGGGGTTAAAAATCTCCAAAAATTGCGTTACGTAATACTTGAACGCTCCCTTACCTAGTTTACTACTAGAAGCTATAAAAAACTTACCATTGAAAAGCTTCCTTGGTTTATTTAAACGTAAAAAAAACATTTAACTGAAGTTTTTTTTTTATTTTTTCCAGCATTTTTCGCACAGTTGACACAGCAATTGACATTTATTTATACTTAAGATCTATTCGCCTATCCTCAATGGCTGCAAATTTGTCTATAACATCGTCGTAAAATTTTGGATTTTCTGATAACTGTTTAACAAGCTGTTTTTCAATGATTAGGGCTAAATTAGAGAGTCTGTATTCACTTGTTGAATTTCGTATAACACTTTTAATGCGTTTTAAAGCTGAAAAACTTTGCTTTTCTGACGCACTTGTGATTGGGATGGTTAGTACTAATTCACACAAATTGACGACTTTACAATTTAACACATTGATAGGCGTATTTTTATCACTAATTTCAGTTTTTCATAAACAACACTTAACTGGGATTTTAATGTTGGAATATCGAAAAAAATTCCATAATTTAATTTTAGTGAATTAAAAGCTTCCGATGGAAATTTTGATGAATCGTAGTTACTAATATTAAAATTGCACAATTCAACAAATTTTAATTCGTTAAAGTTTTGAAATCGAGAGTTCATTTGTTGTAAAATATTATCAAAATTTTCTGCGTATAATCGACGATAGGAGGTCTCTCTGTCGCCGACATTATCAATTCTAATTCTCTTTCTTTCAAGTTCTAAGCCAATGTTTTGAGTCTTATTCCAAAAGTGTTCAAACTGATCTCGTTTTTTATTCATTTTATTTTTAAAATCATCAATTTGTTTAATGCAAAAGCCAATGTCATTTGACTTTGTCTGTAAAATGTCGAATAAAATGTCAGTAAAAGGGAAAATCTCTGCAAAAATGTTGAGCAAAAAATTGAAATCAAAGTTTTGTTTGAGCCAATGCAAATATCCTTTAGCGGCAGTACCAATTTCAGCATCCCATGTTTCTTTATTATCCCAAACGTCTTGAAAAAAGTGTATCAAAGAATCACGGTATTGAAACACCGTGTGCACTAAACGTCCATTGTAGTTCTATCGCGTCGGATCAATTTTGGAAACCTTTTTTGAACGTGAATGTCCAAAGCGCGAGTTCTTTTCGATAACTTTAAAAAGAAGAATGCCAAACCACTAAGCGTCGAAAAGAAAACTTTGCAATCTTTACTATTATCCATGCTTCGCGATAAAACCAAATTAAGTCTATGTGCTATACACTGAACGAAAATTGCATGTTTCAACTTCTTTTTCACTTTAGCTTGAAGGCCTTCTAAATGGCCAGCTATTACGGCAGCACCATCGTAGCTCTGGGCAACAAGCTTAGAACCATAGGCGCCGAATCCCCGGGGCTCTGGATGCGGAAGCACCCAGAGCAGTTTTAAACAGGGTGCGGAGCACCCATAGCACAACGAGGACAAAAAGTGTCAATAAGTGAAACGAAGAAGCTGTCATGACCCAAGTTGGTACAGCGACAGATGCCTCAATAAAATTAGCGTTCGGAGCTGTAATTTTTGTCATAAAAAAGTCGCCGTGACTTTTCATACTTTTCTACTTTTTTTCTACTAAAAAACGCTTGGACCCGTCAATTTTGGATTATAGGGGGAAACATTGTTTTGGCAGTTTCACCCACTGACACTGAGCGGAAATCCTCTATCGGGGGTGAGACTCACCAGTTATATCTTAAATGGAAAGATTGGTCGAACGATATGTTATTTTGAAGTTATTTTGATCTAGATAATAACCCCCAAGTTTTACATCGCTACTATCTATGTATTTTTACATTGTTATTAAAAAAAAGGAATTCTTTGTAACAATTCTACTTTTATTCCTGTGGCTTTCACTTGTTGTTATCTGATGACATTCTTTGGTTGCTGTAAAGTTGTAAGGTTTAGTTTATTTCGTTGTAGAGTCGGCAGAAAAATGACTTATCAGTGATAATGGTTTACTTTATTGCTGAGTGAGTTCAAATAATTTCAATTTTTTTTTTTTTTCGAACAATGAATGTGCTAATAGAACTGTTTAACAAACTAAATGTTTGGGCTGGCATTTTTGGTAACCGTATTATAATGGACCCCTTTTTTTTACCAGAAACTTTAACCGCAGAAATGTATCTGGAATTATTATAAAGCGCTATATATCCAGCTTTACTAGAATTGATTTGGGAATGACGATCAGTACATAGTAAACAACTTAATATTCCAGCATGACAGTGCGCCACTGTTCGTCAGTATTTGGATCAAACGTTTCCAGGTTTTTAGAATCGGAAGAAGAGGAAGTATTGAGTGGTCCCCACAGTCTCCGGATCTAAACCCGTTGGATTTTTTATGGGGCCACTTAAAAACTAAAATTTATGCCATCCAGCCAACCTCACTGGAAAATCTACGACAACGGATAATTGAAGAATGCCATCAAATCACCCCACAGATGCTTCAAAAAGTCCGAGAGCATTTTGAACAAAACCTCTATTCTTGCATGGAGGCCTGGGGCAGGGTCAGCATTTCTAGCATTTACTCGAGTAACTGGTAAGCTTTTACAGAAACTAAAAATCGTTAAAAGATCATGGCTAGGAAGACAGTAGCGATTTAAAACTCGGGGATTATAATCTATGTAAAAATACATTCAAAATACTAGCGGTGGCTGCACCGACCATATAGAGTTGCCAGTTATCTCGTTTTAGGTGGGAGCCTCCAGCCTATCCAGCAATTGGACAGTGACAACACTTTTTTTTCAAGAAAATGTTCATAAAATCAACTTTAAAATAGATTTTTAAAAAACCGGTGGTGCCTTTAAGTGGGGTGTGGAGGGTGGGGGGAGGGGGATAGCTCCATTTTCCGCATAGAAGCCAGGCACCCAAAGCAATTTTTGAATTCCGGCGCCTATGCTTAGAACCACATTTTAAACCTGAAATAATGTCACAAACAATTTTAAACAATGCATCTGCAGTTCGTTCGCTAGTGACGTCCAAAAATCCTAAGAATCGCTCTTGAGGAAGCCATCCAATACATATCGCACAACAATGGATAATTGACTTAAGTTGGCTACATTTGTGGTTTTATCAAGCGCAATTGATACGAAAAGTGCTTTTTTAATTTCACTTTTAATGTGATCCATCACAACGTCGGCAGTGCATTTAATTAAATCAGTTTGGATTCTGTTTGAGGTACCTCGTCGAATCAATAAAATAATTTTTTAAGGTATCATAGTATTTTGCTAAAAAACTTAGAAGGTCCATGTAATTTCCTCGATTGGCGGACCCACTTGTTTCATGGTGACCCCTAAAACTTAGTTCATGCTCTCCCAGGAAACAAGTTACATCTATTAGTCGTTGAAAGACGTCCATATTTCTTTTACCCTTTCATTGTGAATTTTATTGTTTATTTTTAAATGATTGTCCAAACTATGTTCAATGCGATAGGTCCCGAATGTTTTTTCTTTAATTGTAGCACTTATATGAGATTTGCTATTTACATGTCGTTTTACACTTTTATGAAAATTATTCAAGTCTGTAATACCGACTGAGTTCCAATGTGATTTTTCGGCTATATTAAAAAGTAGGTAAGGCCAGCAAAACAATTTATTCAAAGTATAGCAGCCTGGTAACCATTCATACTTTTCATAGCCTACGTGAAAATGCCTGATAAATTTCTTTGCTGACTTTTCTACTTTCGTCTTTAAATTGATAGGATCCTTTAGTCTACTAGAATTAATAATGTCCGTTTTCTCTTCAAAATTTCTACTTGAAAATCCTTTTTTCAATAAAGAGCACACAATACAGACATAATTTACCACATTATTATTGTTCACAGGCACAGTGCATAGTTCCTCCATTTTACAAAAAGAAAAACATCTACGAAAAACAAACCGAAATCTATCTGAAGTCTACGATTTTCTTCACACGTCGATTCGCAGTGCGAATTGCAATATGCGTAAGGTGACGTAAAAGTCGCTGCCTCTCGACCGTTTTTGACGTGTCCAAACAGACTGACTACTGACGCTGCAAAGCAGGGTCAATAACACGAAGCGAAAACAGTTGGAAGATGGGCCGGCTTTTTCCAGATGCGCTTTCGCCGACGAACTCGAAGTATGGTGTGTGCGTTTACATAATTAATTTTCTCATGGGTGGTGCGTGCGTTTACACATTACACCAATGAATTGTTAATACATTTACGAAGTTTACATAATGTTTCAGAGAAAATATAGTACCTAATTTAATATTAATTTCTATGCATTGTAAACTGAAATATATTTATTTTTAAATCTCAAAGTGTAGGGAAGCGGTGCTTCCCCCGCTTCCATGGACCGCACGCCCCTGTTAAAACTATATATCAAGGTGTTTTTGCAAATAATCGAGATTTCCGCCTTTGGTTCTAGATCCCTCAATTTTCTTATAAATTCGAATAACAGATATATTCCATATAGTAGAAAAACCCTTCACAAATGTTCCAACTATTTCGAAAATTTAATCAATTTAACGCAGGATGGATTAAAACTTAAATAAAAAATTGGTGTTTTCTCTTTATTCGTTTTTGTTATCTTCAAAATTCGAAATTTGTGCTTTTTCCCAAATATCTCGAATATGATTCATTTAAGAAAAATGCGTTTTACCTTTTTTATTGCAATTCGTATAATCTTTTTGAGTCACTGGATTTAAAATAAAAATATCTAAAACGCTATTAACATTACTATTGTAAATACTTTGAAAATAATTAGCAACATTTTGTGCAGATTGAGTACTTGATAAATTATAATTGTTATTAAGGTAAGGTCTTTTCTTATTCATTACGTGCTAAGTTCGCACATGAGAATCCCTGTCTGCATTTTCGTAGAGAGCTTGAATATATTCAAAAAATGAGAGGTAAAAAATGGAAGGTGAGGGCCCTGATAAAATTAGTTGAAAAGAGGCGTTTTTAATTTTTAGCAGACCCTCTGTATCGCTGTAGAGTAATAATCTAATAATAAAATTTACTCAATCTACCAAAGATCGATAGTCGTAATTACAAATGCAAGGCACAATAAACAACAAAATATTATATTGTTATTTTCATGACCACGAACCGAACTTGTGCTTGTATATAATAATCTCATTGAAAACCAATCATGGTATTGCATTGGTATGAAAAGTTTAAGTTAAAAATAACAAGGAACGGAAGGAATAATAATGATATATTATCTTATCGAGTTACCCATGTCATCTTCCTAAAATACACGCTTATCGACTGAAGAACAGGAATCTGAACATGTTGTTTTTTACAAACGGAGAGTTGTATGATCTGGTCGTTAAACAACTATTTCATAAATTTTATTGATAATATCAATGAGTCACGGTTATTTTTTAAAAACAAGAATCATAGATAGTCACAAGAAAACAAATTAAATAATTACTCAACTTAATATTCTTAAATATCTCAGAATTTGTTTTGGGATACGAAATTGAAGCAATTATTTAATGTCAATTAAATACGAAATGAGAAGTAAAATATGGTTTGGTCATTTCGCCACGAGATTTAAAAGTAGTAATTGAAATAAATCTGATTACTGTTGTTGGTTCTTGCAACCTTTGGATAGGTATTGATAACTGATGTCATCAGTATAAAGATTCAATAGTAAATGTTGAGGTCAAAATAATTTTAATTGGTGTACCCTACCTTCTATATTTACGGATTGATTGTTAAAGTAAAACGAATTAAAAAAAATGTATGTCCAGCTAAATTTGATAGTTACCTAACCCACTAGTTAAGTGAATTATGTATTTAAAGTTATGCAAGAAGTTTCGTTGATCCACGTTTTCAAATTTGGAGTTTTTTTCTAAGATTTATTTTTGATAATTTACGCGATGCAAAAATAGTATATTATGTTACTAGGAGTAGAAGGCCAACATTATATGTTGAGCCCAGAATTTTGCATAGCTGAGGCGTTAGCCGAAGCTGTGCAAACTGAGCAAAACATATAATGGGCCTTCTAATCCGAGTGACATATACTATTTTTTCTTCAAGCATTTAAATAAAAGTATGGTTAAAAAAAATTAAAATAAAAAATCTGAAATTAATAGAATATCTGTAAAACTAAATAACAGTTTAAAAAAATTATGTACCTACCTTAGTTGCTAAATATCTCTTGTTTGATGCATTCTTAAGAAAGTTATCAAATTCCTGTTTAGAAAAAACTTTTGACTTCTTCGGTTTGTAATTATCACCTTTTCATTTTAAGAAGGCAATTAATTTTGAATAGTTTTCAATTTTTACATTATGTTTAATATTTAGTTCTGATTTTAGCATTGAATACTGCGACCACACTTTTGATCTTTTGAATTTTTCAAATTAGTAAAATACGAGATCAGAACATTTTCTGAATAAAAATGTAGGTGATTTTCTTCACTCCATTTCACAAATTTTGTGTAAGCATAATCGTAAACTTTCTTCGATTTCGTAGGTATTAAGGTTTCTATCGAAGATTTCGCTATTTCTAGCAATTCGGGAGGTGTTGATTGCATTTCTTCTGAGATTTTCTTTTTACTTGAAAAACACAGGTAAAATGAACGGGTTAACACTATTTTTTTTATATTCTAAATCATACACTGACAAACGTCAAATTAAATAAGTATTCAAATGACAGTTCCAGCCTACTTGATTGCAACGTTCATAAGCCATTTAACATTAGGTTTGTGCTTGTTTATACTAGTACAAAAATGAAAAATATTTGTACTAGTATAAAAATAGGCTACTTCTACAACACGTGTACCTTGATATAATGTAAACATTATTATACGCTTGAAGAAAAAATTCATTAATCTACTATGTTAAATATAGAGTTTTTAATCAGATTTACTTTTGAAAGTTTCTTTCTTTATTGATATTCTCGATTCTTTTGTATGAAATATTCAAAGTTTAAAACTAACCAGAACCTTTTTTTTCTAATCAAAAAATATACAAAAACTTAATATTGTTCGTTAAAATGATTTTTTTAAATAATTTTAAGTTTACAAACAAAATCAGGTTTTGTCATTTTTGTAGCGATTAAATTTCTTGCCTAAGTGGCCATTAAATACGGATTTAAATATATATTTTTAGAATAATTATCTACTGCGTGTTATTTAAAACATATCAAGAAAATTAAGATATTAATTGTTTTCAAATTTAACAAATAATATTGAACATATTGAATATGAGATTAACATTGGGTAGGTTACCTATTTTTCATACACCAACATATAATAATAAAAATAATAATAATAATAATAACGTTTATTTAGGATTAGAATAATTTACATTTTTATCATATATAAAACAAACAGTAATACAACTAAATAAACAGAAATACATGAATGTTTCATCTGTGTAACCCATTAAGACCATAAAGGTTGAGCATGGGTACACCGATGATTTAAAAATATTTTACGTAATGTTCTCTACACTAGACCTATAAATATAGGTAATGTTCCCTACTCTAATTTTGTTTATTGCGTTTAATTTATTTTGATATTAACATTTTTTTCTTATTCATTTTAAGGAGGTCCTTTCGCCACACCTCTCGCCTCAAATGTTAAAAAAAAAGTTATTAGATTATGACTAAAATTAATTTTTTTCTAATAGTTGAAGTCCTTATTTATCTAATACTGAACTTTTAACTAACCTTACCTTGCAAATTTTTGAGATTTTTTTTTTTTAAATGTGAGTATTTGTACAGTGCCTCACGAGAAAGTAAGTCCTCAACAACAATTCTCGAATTATACTATTATTTATTGATTAGATGGAGTAGAAAAAAACTAAAAATAAGGTTTTTGAAATATTTAGATTTTGTTTTATACAATAAAATATATATAGTAAACCGTGGAACTTATTGAGAAATTAATATTAAAAAATCACAAAAAATTTTCAAGTAACCTAGTTGAAAATTTTTTGTGATTTTTTAATAATAATTTCTCAATATATTCCACGGTAACCTATATATTTTAGTGTAAAAAACAAAACCTAAATATTTCAAAAACCTTATTTTTAATTTTTTTCTACTCCATCTAATCAATAAATAATAGTAAAATTAATTATAATTCGAAAATTGTTGTTGAAGTCTTACTTTCTCATAAGACAGTGTACAAACACACACATTTTTAAAAAAAAAATTTCTCAAAAATTTGCACGGTAAGGTATAGTTAAAAGTTCACTATTAGATAAATAAGGACATCTACTATTAGAAAAAAATTAATTTTAGTCATAATCTAATATTTTTTATTTAACATTGGTGGGAAAGGACCTCCTTAAGTAATTTTATCTTTAAATAAATAATGATTAAAAACAAAAGTAATAATATATTTTACGATTGCAGTTTATATCATTTTCATTTTTTAAACAGAACATACTCTTCAAATACAGAATACATGACAATCAATTTAAGAATTTTTATCAGTGTAATCCATTAAGACCATAAAGGTTGAGCACGGAGTACACGGATGACTTAAAAATATAATATAATACAATATACAATTTTTTCTACGCTAGACTTAAAACTAATATTCCTAATTCTCTCTAATTCTTTAGTTTGTTACATTTATTTTATTTTGATCTTAAAGTTTATTTTTTTTAACAATATTTATTTTGTTTTTTTTTTACTCATTTTCAATTATTTTATCTATTTCTTTAGATCCTAATGTTTTTATATAAGTTTTAAAAATCTATTTTAGGAGATTAGCTGAGTTTAGTTTTCTTATATAAATTTTATACATATCATGTAGGAAGTTGAACAAGCGGGGTGCTACAAAATCGAAATATCTTGTACCTATGTTTTTTTTAGCAGTATTTGTTTGTATATAATCTTTTGTTTTAGTTCTAGTATGA